GGTTTATGCAAGCATGCCAGATACCCAATCGATAGGCTGATCCACTCTTGTAATATTATCGTCTTTCACCATCTGTTCAAGTTTCTCCCGGTGCAACAGGTACACGGCGAGGTCGGAACACGGGTCTAACAGAGGGATCAATCACAATAGTGTATTGTTCTTCTAACTTCCCAATTCCTTCAAATACATCCCGAAACTCTTCTAACAGTGATTCAACTTCGGCCTTAAATTTTCCTTCCCAGGGTGTTATATCCGAGTCAAGAATGGTGTCAGAATAACACTTTTGGAGTTTATTCAACCACTCGCAATTTATATATTTACATACTATGTATAATATCTTATAGGATTCTTCAGACTCTGAGTCCAATATGGCAAAATATTAGGTCGAGACTTCAATCTTCAATCTTGGGCGAGACCGAAGATCGAGCCTAATATTGAAGTCGAGACTTAATATTTTGCCATATTGGGCGAAGATGAATCCAATAGGAGTTTTATTATATCGAACGAAAGAATTATATAACCATCACGAAAACATATGTCGTAATTTCGTCGTAATGCAGCGCACGCTCAGTAATTGTTCGTGTTTCACAATTTGTAATTGCCAAGTAAACTTTTCCGTTTCATGGTTGTAACAAAATATCTTATAGTACTATCCGGTAAATATCCGGCAAATTTATACCGGATACCGGATAGTGCCGGATACCGGTATCCGGATCCGGCACATCCCTAAAAATATACCTTATGCCCCTCCCCCCTTGATGTTGTTTAAATGTATTTCATGATCTGCTCACCCAAAACATTATTTTATATGCTATATGCCCCTTCAATTATCTCTAGCTTCTTTTGCTGTTGCTGGGGATGAAAGGGGCAAGTTCTGACTATGCCTGCATCTGGTGCAAGATTTACACAAGTGGTTAAGGTATGGTAAACATAAAGTGAAAAGTCAAATGACAACATTTGGCAAGAGCACACTTACTGCAGCTTGACAAGAGGGCAAGAGGACACTTACTGCAGCTTCTAATTCTGGCCAACACAAGAGAGCCAAAACCACATTATATTTACCTGTGCCAATATGTTACCATAGTCTGCATTAATGGCAAACACTAATTATCATACTGTGAACCACCTTTTAGGGTTAGCGTTAGGATAAGGGTTTAGTAGTAGAGTAGCGCAGGCTATACTTTAGGATGATCCATTGCATGTCCATTAGTGCTTTCCTGCATTCATAGACCAGAATTTTTGAAAAACCGTTTCGCCTGGGTCTACTTATATAAAAACACATTTGAATGATAATATACATTTTACCAATTAGATATGATATGACAAAGCCTGAAGATATCTATGAGATGGAAAATATCTGAAGAACTTTGGACAACATAGGAGAATGTTGCCTAAACCAAACGTTTTCCTGTGAGCGTCCTCCTTTGCTCAACATTCTAATAATAATAATAATAATAATAATAATGATAATAATAATAATAATAATAATAATAATAATAATAATAATGGTTTATTTCAGCTTTTCCACAGCGTGGCTCTACATCTGCAAAAGTTCACATGAAAATATGCGATACTATTAATAGAAAGTCTCTACGAAAATTTAAAACTAAGGATTAAAATTTTAATTTAACTATGTAAAATATTTGTCTCTAGCGTTACACATTAAAAAGTCTTTGCACTGCCGTGAGAAATGTCCGAAATGTTCGCAATTCCTAAGTTCAGCAGGTAGAGCATTGAACAATTGCGAGGCTGTATCTTGAAATGTTCCACTTTCTAGCGGTACTTGAAGTTTCTTTGCTGCGCTTGAGCGAAGTACTCGCTCACTTGATTGAATTTTCAGCGAAAGATATGCTGGCCATGGAGATTGATGTAATGCTTTGTGTGCCATTTTTAGCATGTGCCAGTCGCGTCTCTCCTTTATAGGGAGACAACCAATATTAATGACGTCAGCAACTTTAGCGTAAGAGCCTTTAACAAAACCAGCGCATGCATTTTGGATGCGCTGTAGTCTCTTTAGTTGGAAGTCATGTACAGGACTATAAACTGTGTCGCAGTAATCTTGCTTTGATATGACAAGCATTTCGACTAATTGTTTACGTAAGTTATACGGGACCATATGCTTTAGCTTACGCAAGACTGCCAAGACAGCACAACAGGAAGACGTCAAATATTTTATATGTTCATTCCAGTTTAAGTGATCAGTAAAAATGACGCCCAGTAATTTTGTAGCAGTTTCGCGTTTTATTTCCTGATTAGCACAGATAAGATCTAGTTTAACTTTGTCGAGGGAATGCGTTCGTGACATTTGAGCTGTAGAGAACAGCATTGATTTAGTTTTTTTCGGATTTAATGACAAATTCGAAAGTGAGGACCAGTGATTCAGGGAATCCAACGATTGTTGCATATTATCGATTGATTGATCGAGTTTGGCAGTTTTACAATGTTCATACAGCGAAGTGTCATCCGCATATTGATAACAGGTTTGAGGGACATTGACATCAGATACATATAGGTTAAAAATAAAAGGGCCAAGTATGGATCCTTTTGGTACTCCAATGCATACAGGGGTTAGGTTAGATTTCTTGTCATCAATTTGAACATATTGGAAGCGATTTGTTAGATAACTTGTTATCCAGTATAAAAAGCCAGGGGAGAAATGTAGGCGGTGTAATTTTTTTAGAACGGTCTTAAAGTTTATGGTATCGAATGCTTTCGAGAAGTCTGCTAAATGCATAAAAGCATTCCTTTGGAAAACATTGTCCTGGACGAGCTTGATTTGATGCTAAGAATTACAGGTATTGTATGACCCCCCTTTGGTTCTTAACATTGATATTACATATCAGTCTGCCAGCTCTGGTGTCGAGTTGTGTCGGTCATGTGTGCCGCCCGCCCATCAACTTGCTTGACTACTGCAAAGTCTTGCTTGACTACTTTATTTTAATTGTAATTGTTGTTCACAGTTCGTTTATCATCATGTTATTACTCAAATTACTGTACACTGTATCTCATTTTGTCTAATAATTTTTTTGCTTTATCATGAAAAATAGCACCCCCCCTGCACCCCCCTCTGGCCAGGGCTAGAGGGGTTCCCCCCAGTAAATCCATCCCTGTAACATATATAAATCCATCCCTGTAACATATATTAACTAATATACTTATAGCAATTTGAATTAGACAGCAACTTTGTTTCATTTATATTGCCAGATAAACTTATTGATAATTTGGTGAAAGAAGCCTTAGATAGAGATCTTGCTGCAAATCTAGAAAAGGCAACCAATACATCTTCAAAACCTGATCAAGGCCATCTGCAGTTGTGGAGTTTCATTTTCAGTTTGGGAAAAGCGGGATGCTGATGGGAAGCAAGTGGAGTACATGAATTTACCAGTCTTATGGGAACAGACAGAAAGATTCTGTTGGAAAACCTACCAGCTAAGTTAGATGGTGTCATTGACCCTTCGACAATTGCTACAGTAATTAGGATTTGGAAGGTACAGTATACTGTAATATAAAGTACTTTTCGTATACAATATTTTTACAACTGATTATTTTGCTAGTTTAAGGCCTAATATTACTATTTGCCGCCAGTACTATCGCTAAACAAGCAATACACACTGAGCCAATTGACCATATACACAACATGCACAGAAGTACTAAGTCAGTGGTCTTAACATATAATTAATATTATAAACACTCAAGTTGCATATCTATGCAGGAATGTATTGAGCATACACATTGTGATTACTGAGAATATTAGATTAATTATTGCTTTATTCTACCACATTTTGACTGGATTTCAACCATATCTATAAAGAATATATCCAGAAACAAGATCCGACAGACACAGATATTGATATATATATTTCTATGGTACAAAGACTCCTAAATGTTCATGAAAAACATATATACAGTTCTGCCCATGCTACAAGATGTACATAACAACATATTTTCTTATTTCCATTACAGGCTACAGCTTGGGTGACACTGTTTCTGTCACTGGGAGATAAGCGCCAGGGCTATGCCAAACAGATATTGCACCATATATCCATGCCATGGTGTATCATGTACCTCGCTCCAGGAGGATGCACAAAGGAATACGAAATTTTCCGGACAAGGTAAAAAAATGAGAACTAGAAGTAAGAATGGGGCAAAGTAATCAAATGAATATACTCTGTTCCTATGAAACCGCTCCTACTAATTATTGGCCAAAGGCCTTCGCTCAAAACCTTGAATACAATGCTTTATTTGAATAGGCTATAACAAATGCACCAAAGTTTGCTTTAGAGAACTATGACTGACCTGCTTTCATGCAAAAAGGATATTACATGTATCCAATTATTATTTTACATTAGATGTTGAAAAACTTAATGATGTTTGCAGAAGAATTCATTCGGAAAAGTCCAACAAGTGGGATGCTACTAAAGATGTGTTATTGGTTGAAGAAAGGCTTCAACATTTAATATTGGGGCGAAACTACCAGCAGAATAATATGATGATTCCTGCTCTAATTATTCCTGTTCTAATGATAATCAGCCAATAAAATATAATCAGTCCATAAATTATAATGGTAATCAATCATCAGATACTTCTCAAAAATGTTCTCCAATACTTGTTGATAATGTCATCTCGACTGTAAAAGCCTTAAAAACATGTAAAGCAACAGGTTTGGATCAAATTCCGGCTAAAGTTTTAAAATTATCTACCGACATAGTTGCACCTTCGTTAACATTCATCTTTAATCTGTCGCTTACAACAGGCATATATGTTGATGAATGGAAACAAGCACGCGTAACACCAATTTATAAATCTGGAGCCGGTTGTATCAAAGGCGTTTAACTTAAACGGTGTTTAGCCGCTATCCAGCGTATAAATTTCTTATCCAGCGGATAGTTAAACGGCCGATAAAATTGCGTTGTATGAAGCCCGCTTAGTACCGCGTTTAACTATCCGTAGGATAACCTTTAATTTAACTGGAGAAAACCTGATTTTCTTGAAATTTCTTACCTCTACGTCAGCTGTTGCTAGGCCTTTGTAAACTTTTGAAGCTTTATCTAACTTGTGAATTCCACTAAGCTTTTGCAATAAAGTTTGTTGTTGTTTCTATTTGGAGTTTGCTCGTCCATTCGTTGCTGCAAATCTATATCAAAATTTTCATTTTCACATTGTGCTGAGTTTCTCATTCACTTAAATTCACTTACGGATATTTCTTTAAAGATTTTTGGCTTCTTTATGCGAAGAGTCGAAGGCAATAGCAAAAACTGTGAGTTGTATTTGGCTTTTGTCAGTTGATTCAGTTTTATACTGTTTGAAATTTGTTCCTCGACCTTGCACTTTTGTTCAAAACAATTTTAAGAACATTTTGAACCACGTTTTGATTGGCTGATCAAAGCGATTAACGCGAGCGAACAATTTTTTTCGACTTTCGGCGTCTTGTTGTCTATTTTGTATACTTGTTGGCTTTCCAAAGTCATTGTTTGTTTTACAATAGCTAAAATTGCGAGTCTTACTGCTTGTTTTCAAACTATATAATAGAAGAAAAGAAGAAGAAAAAGCCAGAGTATATATACTTAACATCTAAACATGACACTGGTGTGCGTAAATATAGCAAAGCCACGGAATTACAAGTGAGCAAGTGACCTCAGTGTACCTCAAGACCAAGCCAGTTAAAAGTGAGTTTTTCATGTTTATTGGATTTAAAAAGATAACTCCTCCACATGATTGTGCATTTTTATAACTATCCTATGCTTTTTCATCCGAAGTAATCATTGTTTTATCTTCAAACTCCGAGTTTATCCGCCGTATAGCGATTTAAACGGTCTCAAGAGACCGTATAAGTTTACACGGTGGATAGGCAAAATTTAACCGGTGGATAGCTAAACGGGCTTGATACAACGCGATTTCTCGAGCGTTTAAATTTTATCCGGCGGATAGCGAGTTAAACGGTGGTTAGCGAGTTAAACGCCTTTGATACAACCGGCCCC